TAATACATATTTTATGAAATAACTATCACAAATAAGAAATAGTATTTGCTTATTAGATAAAAATCAAAACAAAACAAAAACAAAAGCATGCCTTTAAACACACATAATACTGTTTCTATGCAATACAGCCCGAATAATGTGACAGAAACAGGAGCTGAGTATCTTGATGGACAGGACCCATTGCTAGGAGGCTTTCACACTTATGTTGGAAATATTAGTTAGAAAATATGTTAAACGCATATATTACAAATTATATTTACAAACATGTATTATGTTATTAGTAACATTCAAATATACTAAAACATTAAAGATGAGAAGTGGACAATGAACTCTAATTAGCACTGAAATCTGAAGAAGACTAGAAGAATAAGCCATAAATTAATAGAGGAGGCCAGGTGTTGGTGGCACAGGCCTTTAATCCCAGCACTCAGGAGGCAGAGGCAGACAGATCTTGGTGAGTTCAAGGCCAGCCTGGTCTACAGATCAAGTTCCAGGCCAGGCTCCAAAGCTACACAGAGAAACCCTGTCTTGAAAAAACCAAAAAAGAAAAAAAAAACAAAAACGAAAAAAGAAAAGAAAAATAAATTAATAGAAGAGATGGAAGACCAAGCTTTCACACTACTAAGGAACCTGTCTAATGGGCAGAATGCTTCTTGATGTCCCTCACAAACACAGCAACCACAACAAATACTCTTCAAGCTCCACCACCACCTCCTAAAAGAACTATGATACAAACCTGATTTCCAACAAGCAAATACAAATGGGCTTTGAGAAATGACCTGAGTAAAAAGTTCAGATCGGTCTCACATTCTCTGAAGTTACAAACAAACAAACGAAAAATAAACCACCTGGGTGGTGGTTTGCAAGAAAGCTGCTCCCAAGTGAGTGGCACTATTAGGAGGGTGCATCATTGTGGGGCAGGGCTTTGATGTCTCTTTGGCTCCACTTCCCTCAGTGTGACTGTCAGTCAACTTCCTGAGGGTAGCACTCTCCACCACAGCATCTGACTGCAGGCTGCCATGCGCCCTACCAGGACCCTCTGAAACTGTGACGTGAGCCACCTCAACTAGATGTTGGATTTGTAAGAGCTGCCACAGCAATAGAACACTGACTGAGACACACTGGGCCTGGGATATAAAGAACAGGGTAAGGAGAGAGATTTTTATTTTAACCCCACTGCCTCAAAAAACAAAAAACAAATAAACAAACAAACAAAACAAGAAAAATTGGGCAAAGTAATATAAAGCTAAATAACAAAAGTTAATCAAGAAAATATTCAGCAAACTTTCAGCATCTTAAAAATTAAATGTGAGCAGGTGGGAGGGCTTAGTGGGTTATGATGCCTGCGGCCTCCACGCCTGACAACCAAAAGCAACGCCAGGACCTACATGGTTGAGGGAGAGAACTGACTCTCACAAATTGTCCTCTGACTTTCATGTGAGTGCTATGGCATATGCACAAACCACACACACACACACACTCACACACACACACACTCACACACACACACACACATACATTCATATACAAACACACAGACACACATACATTCACATACACACAGAAACACACAGACAAGTACATCATGCTCATACTCACACTCACACAACACACACACATTCACATACACACATTCACACACACAAACACACACAGACATACATCACACTCACACTCACACAATGCACACACACATTCACATACACACACACACACATTCACATACACACAGAAACACACAGACACATACATCTTACTCACATACAACACACAGAAACACACAGACAGATACATTCCACTCACACTCATACAACACAGACACACACACACACACACACACACACACACACACACACGTTCTCATATACACAGAAACTCAGACACACACATCATGCTCACACTCACACAACACACAGAGACACACACATTCACATACACACACATTCATATACACACATATTCACATACACACAGAAACACACACATACACAGACATACACATTGCATACACACTCACACAACACACAGTCACAAACCACACACACAGAGAAACACACACACATACACATACACTCACACACATATGTACCCACACTCACACTACAGACACATACCACACACACACCGAAACACGCACACAGATACACACATATACTCAGTCACACATACACATACACACTCAGACATATACTACAGACATATGTACTCACACACACACGCAAATGAATAAATAATGTTGCAATTCAAAAATAAAAATACAATACATGTTTTCTTTACAAGTATGATTTGTTGAACCCTGAGTAACTTGAGAATAAGGCAGAGTTCCCAGTGTAGTATTTGCTGGGGATTTGCACCATTTCATCCCTAGGATTTCTGTAGCAATAAACCACTGTGCACTAAAGAGTCAGAAATTTTAACTGCCAGGCTCGTATGATAATTTGGCCGTGATACCCAACATTCAGCTGAAATTCCGGTCCTATCTGGCCACTTCAATTATGGCTAAATTTTTTTCTTTCTTACATTTCAATATGTGTCTATGGACAAAAGAAAAGAAAGGACAATCTAAATTGTCAGAAACTAACTTTTTCAAGTTAATTGTAAAGAAAAAATTATACAGTAAGAAGTTTCCTATAACTATAAATATTGTGAAATATGAACATATTCTGAAATTTGTTTTTCAAATTTCCCTTTAAAATGTATCAAGGAAAATGCAATTGTTAATTATCTGCTTACATTATCTTTTTCTTTGCTAGCATTGCTCAGATGATGTTCAAATGCTAAAAGTCTTGGTTTTTTGTTTGTTTTGTTTTGTTTGTTTTTCAAGACAGGGTTTCTCTGTAGCTTTGGAGCCTACCCTGGTTTTGGGAGCCTTTCCTGGCACTCGCTCTGGAGACCGGGCTGGCCTCGACCTCACAGAGATCCCCCTGCCTCTGCCTCCCAAGTGCTGGATTTAAAGGCGTGCGCCACCAACACCCGGCTCAAAATCTTGTGTTTTATACAGATGTTTTAATCCCCTATATTCAGCAACAGATTAGCCAACTGAATAAGACTGTGAGGTCGGACCCCAGCCAATGGGGGAAGAAAGACACAGTCACTACAAGAATGAGATTCAAAATCTTGTCTCACTGTGTTCCCTCTTCAGAGTCCTCTGGACCAAGAGTTAAAAATGCCTTTTCCAAACACTAAAATTTGAGTGGTGGTCTCTTTGTGGTCCAGAGCTTAATTCTAACAAGTATACAACTCAGCTTTGGTGAACTTTCTGCTTAAAATAATTAAGGACCAAAGGCGTGCACACGGACTGAAGGTGTGCTCAGAGCCACTGCAAACCACAGAAAAATGATTCAGACTTGAAAGCACAATGCCCTGGAAGCCAACAGAGAGGTGGGGGAAATGCCCTTTCCATGATTCTTGCTGTAGTCCCTTTTATTTTGATATGCCTGCAATTAAGAGTAGTTAAATGACTTTTGAAAAAAAATAGTTCTCCAATCCTAAATCTCATTAAAATCTGGACAGAACAAAATTGATGACAAAAATTAAAATACAGTGCTTAAAGGAGGTGACTATGGGCCCAGAGGTAGTTGGACAATATAGGTGACAAACACAATTCATACATGTTAATTTTATGAAATGTAGTAAAACAACAAAAACAATATGGCCAAGAGGTCTAGATATAAAAGTGGAGAAGAATATGAAAACATTTTAGTTCCAGTTCCAACTCTGTTTACTACATAACCTATTAAAATTTTTATTTAAAAAATAAATTTTAGTAATTTAGGCATAGTAACATATACTACTTAAGAAACACAACATGCAGATGGCTTAAGGTACATATTTAAATAAAATCGTATGTAGTAAATGCAAAGTTCTAAAATAATCTCAAGTACTTACTGTTCATCAGAATGATTGAATTTTAGAATTTCACAGCTTTCTGACTACCATGACACAGAGTAATGAATGATAAGGAACTGAAACATTCTCTGCTTTCCCACTCGTTTTTAAGAGCATGTATGTTTTAGTTTCAAATTCCTACCTTCTGTCTGGAAGAAAGTAAATTTTAACATATGGATTCCTTGGCCTCCCATCTTCCCTGGAAGGGAGATCCTTTGCTCCCAAAATTGTAACTATCAACTGGTGACCAACCTTGTCAAACCATAGTTTGATCTGAAAAGCAAAAGCATTGATTATCAGCTCAAAACTCACTTCCAATACATGTTCACATTTGCAGTCTTTATACCATTCTCTAGTACTCATATTAAGAAAGGTAACATTTCCCCCAGTAAACTGTGTTTTGTTAAAATAAAAGGATATACTATAATAACTTCAATGAGTAGATGAATTGATTCTGATGTTTTAGTTTCATTGGTTAATCACTTGGCTTTATCCTATGCAGATGTGAGGACTTATTAATGAAATATACTAATTATACTGTTGAGTTACATACTTTGTGTACAATGATTCTGCTGTCTTCGTGTAAGAATCACTGTGGTTCTTTTTGGTCACCTATTAAGTTGTAAATAAGTGTTCTAAATGCAGTGCGTGGGCAGGACCAAGTAAGCAGTAAGGTGAGGTAATTTTCAAGCAAACGTCTTGTCTCCATAGTAAAACAGATTTCAAAGGATAGAAGAAGGCTTACTAGTAGTTTTGATAGATTCCTTTAGTTTGTGTTTAAAATGATAATAAACTCCCCTTTTAAATTTTTTAGAGGCATAGTTCCTTCTTCGGTGAAGACAATACATAACATCCTTAAAATCGTAAGGTTTCACTTTAAAATGTTAAAAAAAATTTGCTGTGTCATAATTAGGGATTGGCACTTCATGTCATCTTTTAACTTGACAAGTCTCATCTCCCACAATTTCACACCTTTGCTCCTTGCTCCCTGTGCATCATCTGTCTGGATCTAATCCAGATACGTGCACTACCTACGAGTCAGCATCTCTTACCTCAAGCTTAACACTGAAATAGAACCAAAAACTTAGAACTTGACAATCATAAATTTAAGTTAGACATGAACCACAGTTCCAATTCCACAATGGTTTGGGTGGGTCCCTCCTTAAATATTCCAGAAAATCAGAGGCTGACTCAGGTGTATTAACAGCTTAAAATATATATATAAAATTATTGCTGCTCTTGCCTTGTCAGGGTTAGAAGGGATGAGCCCTCTTACAGGAATAAGAACAAGAGGTATCCAAAATTTAAAAGTGGCTAGTACTAGTTTTCATGTTTTAAAGTAAGTAGCTTTATCTTGCTATTCCATAACAAAATTTTTCTACCAGCTAGGAAATTCAAAAATAGAACCTCAACAAGATTTGTCTTAGCCTGTGTTTAATAAATATCTGACAAGTGCTCTTATCTGGAGTATTGGAGAATTACAGATTTCTAGGCTAGCCTTTTACCTACAAACTAAAATGAGATCTTAGGATTTTAAGAAATGGAAAATTCATTCAAAAGATCAAGGACCATCCTTATCCCCTAAAGAAAAACAGGTCTAATGGCTAGACACAGTGATGCCTGAAACACCAGCTCTCAGGGACCAAAATAGGAGAACTGTGACCAATCTACAAACCTAAAGCTAATCTGAGCTACAAAGCAACCCTGTCTCAAACAAGAACGGAAACAACCAAAAACCCAAGAGGGATGGGCTGGGGACTGACTCAAAAACTTGAACGGAAAAAAAAAAAAAGCTTTCAATCTGCATGCTTATCAATATTAGACTACAGACAGAGATGAGGAACAAACTGGGGAGAATAAGCTATTCTCTGCACAAAAGCTAAGAGAGGAAAAATGAAGAAATTCAAATGTTTGATTTTCATGGGATGAAGGAAATGTCGACAGTCAGAGCCTTCTAGAACCTGTGATGAAGGTCAGATTATTTATATATCCTCACTTCCACCAATAACAGCAACTCTGACACGCTTATTTCTTCCCATAAACTGGTATCTTCAGATTTCTCTGTACAGCCAACCACTACCACTGTTTTCTATTTCTTACATAAACACCCATTAGCTTTATCGGTTTGATACTGTTGCCACAGTATGATACTGTGAACTAAATTATACTGCCCAAATATATGAGTATTGACACTATTAAATAAGAGCCTATCCCATTATGAAAATCAGACTTTTTCAGAAATTGTCTTGAACTGGGCACCTACTAATAGGCCTAATTTTCCATTTTATTACAGAGTGTGCATTGAAGTTTTCAATAGATATCCAAGTCAAACAGGACTTATTATCCATTCTATCTGGCATATTCTTGAACCTGTGTTTTATAAATAATGTTTAAAACATAACTTCTTTGCTCCCCAAAATATAACAAAAATACAACCTGATTCTACCCTTGATAAGCCTTAGTTCAATTAATTTAATAAAAATCTTGGTACCATTTTAATTGTTGAATATGACTATCCTCTCAGCTTTACTATGTAACCAATTTAGATGGTTCATAATAGAAATTTAGCATTAGACATAAATATTTTCTATTATATGGCATTAAGTACAATTATTAGTTTAATTACTTAAAAGTATTATTCAAAGCCAACATTTTTTAAAAACATGCAACAAAGCAGGGAAGGCATAATACTACTTTTAACATAACTATATTAGCATTACTGTACCATATAAACAATATCCTAATGAAAAGAGGCAAAGAACTTGTACCCAAGTAGTCATAAAAACAAATGGAATGATTACATACAAACAAAATGATAACATTTGGATTATAATTTTTTTTGTTCTTTCAAACTCCAAAAGTTGATTCTTATATATCAAATGCAAAAACCATGTTTTAAATAAGGTACAAATATATTTGCCAATCTCCTCAAGGAGTCATTGCTTGGAAAATGCAAGAGAATGGAGATGTGATGTGGTATAATGAATGATTTAAAGAGACAGCAACCTTCGTGTAATAAAAGAAAATATCTAGAGTTTAAAATCAGCTACTCCAGTCAATGTTACAGAGATTAGCAAAATCTACGCCGAAACTGAATAGAAATGCCACTTTGAAACCTCGACATTTGAGTACTTCAATAGCTTACAAAACAGCTAACAATGATTGTCTCTTTAAATTTGTATTCAGTATTCTAATCTCCATGCAGAAGTTTACAAGCTGCCTTATAAAATGATTTGGAAGTCAATAGTATGGTTTGGAGCAACATACCAAAGAAAGTGTTCCTACTACGCATTTTCCAAAAACATACAAATAAGGGGGATAAAACACAACTTTAGTTTCTATCAGGCAGACAAAGCCTTTACCTGAACCCTAGGAACAAAAGGCGTTGTTCTTCTACTAAGGCTTTGGCTCTGGTAAGCAAAATTAAAGAAAAAAGCAATAAAACAAAACCAAAAAGGACAATATGCTGGAACTAAAAGACCAAAAGTAAAAATAAACACATAAAACTGTCCCTTAAATACAATGTTTTCATGACAATATATTTAAATTAAGTATTTCATCATAAGAAATAACTATTTCCCAATGCTAAAATAGATGAAAGGTATTCAATGCATCATAAAATATTATAACTTATTTGATCATATTCTTAAAACATAGTCAAAATAATAGGAATTAAGACCGAATTACAAGGACTTAGATAATATAATTTTAAAGGATGGTTAAAGCATAACCCCAAAATGAAGAAATTTAAAACTTTACCCTTAAACACACTACAGATGGCCTGTGATATCCATGGGTGACTGGTCCCAGGGTACCCACAAATACCAAATCCACTGGAGTTCAAATCCTTTATGTAAAGTGACATAGTATATGCACAAAACTAGTAGGATCTCTATGCTTTCATCATCTCTAGAGTGTAAGTGCTAATCTACAATGTCAAATAGAATACAAACACTATAAATTGTTCGCTTTTTATTATTTAGGAAACAATTACAACATTAAAGTCTATAACTGTTCAACAGAAGCGTAAGATTTAAAAAAAAAAAAAAAAAAAACTGATCCACAATTGTGTAAGTGTATGGGTGTGAAAGCTGCTGAAGTCTAATTGTTCATAGCATAGAGTTAAGCCTGACAGAGGGCACCCGACCTACGCTCACTGCATTGCGTGAGATATTGTTAAGTGCCAGTCACACCTGCTAACAACAGAATCTCATTGCTTTTTATTTACAGAGTTCTTTATAGTTCCTGAAAGTTTATGGCATGTTCATTGCCTCAGGATACTCCCAACAGCTTCGGAGATAACTGCTCTTATATCCCCAACAAGCAAGTGAAAAAAAAAAAAAATGAAAAGCTCTAGATTCAACTCTAAATGCTCAAAGGGTAGTAGGACATAAACACAGTTCTCAGAATAAAACAAACAAACAAACAAAACCAAAACAAAACAACAACTAATTTCTTTACTCAATTCCTTAAGCTTTTATTTTCAAACCAATTTTAGTAATTCAAAAACATCATAATAACCTAGTCCAGGTTTCCAGTCACAGAGCAAGAATAAAATCCGTGGCTGAGAATGGATTTAAGGTCACTTGAGTTCTGCTTCCCTCAACAAGATTCCAGGTCTCTTACATCTGTTGAGGATTGATCCTCACCAGCTGCCTCTGTCTTCCTGCTGTCACAGAAACTAATAGGAATAATGGGAAGGCTTCTGCCAGGTACAGGACCCGCTGCACCCTCATGACATTTAAGTAAGACATCTGAAACCTACAACCTTCACCAGGAGTCACCTTTCTTTCTCTTCAAACAAAAAACAAAAAACAAAAAATAAGCATCAAGCCTGAGCATTTTTCCTTTTCAAATGGAGACATACCTCAAGAGGAGGAGCTCAGGACAATGGGGGTAGTGTCTGCCTGAGTAAATCTGCATGCATACAGTTTAGTAAGTAGGGGAATGGGGTTACATTCCCACAGATTAACTAGATCTGCTCAAGGGACAGGGCATTCTAGAGATTTTATTTTCCTGCTCCCATCTCTACATGTTTAAAATAAAATATGTCAAAAAGGGAAATATTTTATGAACGTATATTACTTCATAAAATAAAGGGCCTATGTTAAAAAAGAATATTTAAGAAATTAATCCTTTATAGCAAACAGTTTTCCATTATCTAAAACACCTTGAAACAAGCCACTATCAGATTTCTAAATACATGTCTTTTCATCTTTATGTTCACCCACGAGTTTATACATTAAAGATGACTACAAAATATGTGTGTTCTT